CCTTGCTGCAACAATGAATTGCTAACAAGTATTTTGACCAAACATGGACTTTGTTTGTTTTTTGAAGTTTCTCGGTGCTGATGCTCCCGGCAGGTGCTGCCAGCACCGATGCTTTGATGGTCTGTTCCAGCACCCACCTGATGTCCCCGAGCTTGTAATGACTGCAGGGGCTGGGGATTTAGCAAATTGCTTTTTTTTTTTTTTGCCTTTCCTGAGCGGGATGTTGGAACAAGTGGGCTGGCTGCTCCCACTCTCCGCCAGAGTGATTATATTAGCGTGGCCTGGGTAGGAGTGGCGGAAATTACAATGAAATACTAGAGGTAGGAAATAAAAATCTAATTAAAAAATAACGACGGATGTGTGTCATCTTCCAAACCCTGGTCATGACCAGCCCAGCTGTGGGGCAGCTTTGCTTGGGGGTTACACACTCCAGCCGTCGACGTAGCCTCGATGGAGCTGTGCTCAGGGGATACAACTAAGAGCAGAGAGCAAGTGGGGGGAGGCAAAGGGCTTCAGCCTCTATGAAACGTAAGAAGGGGAATATGTGAGTGGACTGGGGCTTGAAAGCCCTCTTGGCCCCTCAGGACTTGCTCCCCTGAACTGTGAGTTGGTGGGCTCCCCTGAAAACGGGATGATTCCCCTTTCCTCCCTTCCCAAGCAAAGCTGGGACTGGCTGGAGCCCACGCGGTTTCACTGCTGGGAGGCGGGTGCTGGGGACAGCTGAGATGGTCTGTGTGCACGTCTGGGATGGCACCACTGAGAGAGGATGGCCACTGGCCTGGAGCCTGGCTCTGCCACCAACCTGCTGGGTGGCCCTGGCCATGTCACTTATCCTCTCTTAACCTGTCTGTCTCCTCATGGCTCTTCTCAGCTCTCTGGGGGCTTGATACCAGCCCAGCTCGGGCTGTGTGAGGGAGGTACCTGCCTTCAGGTGCTTCAATAATAGAAATCATTAATTTTCACTGCTAATGGAAGAAATGCTGCTCTGTGAAAAATGTGCGTTGGCTTGGAGGCAATTCAAAAGGCTGGTGGAGACGGGAGCCCCTAATTTGTTCCAAATTGGTTATTTCACTGGAATGGAGAGAAAGCATCAATCTGAGGAGCTTTTCTCCCTTTTCATTTCTGTCAGCCGCTCCTTGGCTGTAATGAATTGGACTTGGCTGTAATTTGTACGATTTATACAGTGCCCAGAATAAAGACAAGACTGATCCGTGGCTCTGGTGCTCCCCTGAGCTCTCTGTCTCTTGAGAAGACCCTGACCTCTCCCCCACCACCCAGGGAGGGATGGGCAGGGCTGTGGGCAGTGGATCCCAGATCAGAGTTCAGTGTTTACCACCTCCTTTTCACTGCCCCTGGTCAGGATGAGCCCAGATCCCTCCTGAGCCACCTTGGTACCTGTGGCAGAGGTTGGTGGGGCCTTGGCTGGGCTGCACCAGCCCCAGTGCAGGCTGTGACATGGATGACACCGAGCTGGTTGAAGTCTCTGCTGGGGGAGGCATCACTAAATGCTGATTTTTCAGATCATTACCTGGCAGACAGGGAGAATTGGGAATTAAAATCCAAAGGCAGTTGGACTCGATGTTTGTTGGCAGGGGGAGGAAAAGAGGCTTGATAGAGCAAGACCCATTGTCCAGTTTTGCTCCTCAGCAGCTGTTTTTGACATCAGTGGTGTGGGGTGATTCTCCCTGTGGCTCTCAGGGAGCAGGATGCAGCCGAGCTGCCTCCCAGGGACCAGGTGCGTGGACTGGAGGGAGCCCAGAGAGAGAGATCACCCTGTCCCTGCCTCTTCTCCTCGACAAAAGGGCTTTGCCCTTCTCAGCTGCTGCTCGGAGGAGCCTCAGCCCAGAGCTGGGGTCACCGGCGGGGAGAGATGAGCATGGCCCTCCCCTCCCCAGCCCAGTAATCCTGTTGTGGTCATGTCCAGAGTTTGCAGGGATGTCATTCGAGTTTATTTCAAGGCTTGTTCCCTGCCAGCTGCAGTCACGCAGCTGAAGGTTGTGACAAGGCTGTGCAGGGGAAGGAGGCATGAGGCAGCATCCTGCAAGCTGACAGTGGCTGGGAGATGTGGGGGGGTTTCCCATTCCAGCAGCTCAGGGGACTTCTTTTCCAGCAGCACCCACTGGTTCCCTCTCCATGGCCCACTACCCACCCAGGCTCCTCCACAAGGGCTTGAGCGTGCTGGAGCCAGACTCTGTGCCCACAGCAGTGTTAGAAGGGCCCCCCTGGCAGAGGAGGAACAGCCCCCCCCGAGCACCCTGAGTTGTGTGGGAGAGCTGGGACACAGCAGGGAAATACTGGGGTCCTCCAGCATCCCCTTCCCTGTGTGGGAGCACCTTCCCTTTCCCGTCTCCCTCCGGTCTCTGCAGATCCCGCAGGAGCCGTCCTTGCCAGATCCGCCCGTCCAGGCACCAGCCCGGGGGCTGCAGGAGTATTTTTAATTTGGCTGAGCTGACACGGTGCCGGGTGCTCTCTCCCACACGAGACAGCGGCTCCTCTCTGCCTCCCCCCTCCGTCACACGCGGCAGAGATTGAACTGAGCTGTCACCACCTTCGGGTGTGAGGGATGCAGCCGGGCAGCTCCTGTGAGTCCTCCCTCCTGTGCATCCTCCCAGTTCGTTTTGGGGGCTGTCACAGCCAGGGTTTTGGGTGCACAGGGCGGGGGCAGGGACCTGCAGGGTGCTGCCCCATCCTCTGTGATGGTCGGGGATGGGGGCTGGTGGAGCCAGGCACCACGGGGTGGGTGGACAGGAGAACGGGGGGCTGTGCAGGGATGGGGCTCCCTGGGGTCAGCAGCTTTGGTGAACAGCACCAACAGCAACACCAGCACCTCTGCTTCCCTGCGGGAAGAGTGTGCGTCATTCCCCAGAGCCTGACTGGCTTAGAGCAGGAATGGAAACAAAATCTCATAAATATCTTTGGACTCGGGGATTTAAAATCTTTTGGGGTAGTATGGCAGCATTTGGTCTTTTCTTGTTCAGCTCCTTACAGATGCAGTGAGCAACGCTTGGAGAACCCAGCCATGGATGTGGGGCTGGAGTGCTGGTAAGGGTGTCAGGGACTGGCCTGGGGCATCCCAGTGGGAGCCACGTGCTTGGGGTCTGCTCCAGCCAGCAGGCGCGTGGGACTCCAGTGGAAACCGGGGCTCAGATGGAAACTGTGGCTCATGGCCGTGGCCGCCCTCGTGCTGTGCAGATGATGGATGTGCTGGTGCAACGGGGCACCTGCCTGCCCGGCTCCCTGGCACGGCACAGCAGGGAAAAATAGCAATGATTGGCTCGAGCCAAGGCGGCTGCTGCTGCATGGGGGTAAACAGGAGTATCTGCACTTCAGTTCCTTTAGGAAGGACATCTGATATCTGGCAGGGATGCGAGGGCAGGGTGCTCGGCAGGGTCAGGGACATCCTGTAAACACTGCCCCAAACCCATGTTGAAGCTGGAGGCTTCCAGCAGAAATGGGCACGCGGGGCAGAAGGGATCAGTGAGTTCAGCCATGCAGGCAGAGGGTGTTCCCAACTGAAATCCCCCAGTCCTGCTAGTGGATCCCAGTACAGGGGCTTGATGGGGTTCCCACGGGAAGCAGGGTTGGCCCCAGCCACTGTTCACTTGGGACTGCTGACCTTTGCAGTCCCGCTCCGAATGCTGGGAACCCGGGGACGCAGCAGGCTCCTGCCTAAAAACTCATTAAAAAGGCTCAATCCTCTTTTCTCGAGGCATTAGCACAAGAATAAATTGGGCATATTTTCACCCCGAGAACCAGCTTTGGTTTCACCAGCTCCTGCTCTCATTAACCCTGGGCTAAGGTGGCCAGGCAGGAATGTCCCCAGAGCAGGAAGAGCCTCTTGCCCGGGGATATGTGGAGGAGCCTGAAGAGAGGAATTCACCGGGGGCTGCCAGACCCCCCTGGTGTGGAGCCAGCCGGAGCCAGGTACAATGCAGCCCCTAATCCAGGCACATTCCAGTGGGCCACATCCCTCCTCATAGCCTGACTCTGCAGGGGGAGTCGGGGTGGGAGCATCCTTCAGCTCCCAGGCACAGGGTCTGTGTTGGGGAATGAGGAGTGGAGTTCCTGTCAGGGGTCCTGCAGGACACTGGTGTCCTTTGGGATTTCAGTGTCCTCAGGAGCATCGCTTGGGGGGAAAGCAAAGGTGGCACAAACCCCTTGTTTCTGGAAGAAGGTGAAGGGCTCTAAATCTCACCTGCATTTAGTCCTAAAAGAAAGATTTTTTTTTTTTTTGAGAGGATGAGTGGAACCCCTGTGCTCATTGGGGAACCCCGGGATGAGAGGGTGGGTTTCAGACCCAGCCCTGCCGCTATAGACCGGGAGCACAGGTAACCAGGAACACGCTGTGGGGTTTGGCCCCGCACCCTGCCGAACCTCCGTGGATGGGGGCGCGTGCGGGGCACTCGCATCCCGGCTCTGCCCTAATCTGGGGATGCCCATCCTGGCTGGACGCAAACGCTCCTGCAGCTCATCCCGTGTGCCCAGCCCCCAGCCGAGGGACCCGGTGTGGGGGCATCCCTTGGAGGGCGAAGCGGGGGGGATGTTCCTGGGCGCTCAGCACCTCGGGCCAAAAAAAAAAAAGGCGTCCCAGCAGGTGAGCCCGCAGCGGGCGCAGCAGCCCCGTGTGTTTTCCCCCCCATAGAGGGGGGCAAAGAGCCCGTGGCCCGTGGCTGCTGCCTCCGCTGTCCCCCCGCGGCCCGGCCGCGGCCTGCCCGGTGCCGGCCACCGCTAGTGGCCACTGCCGGCAGCAGCGGCGAGCCCGGCGGCCCTCGCTGCAAGATGGCTGCGCCCCTGCTCCCGTGAGCCGGCCCCGCCGCGGGCTTTGTTCCCGCAGCCGCCGCCGCCGCGCTCGGCCCCGCGGGGGATGCGGGGCGGGCGGTGCTGCTGATGCTGCTGATTGTGGCTCCGCGGCACCTCGCTTCGTTTTCTTTTTTTTTTTTTTTTTTTTTTTTTTTTTTTTTTCCCCCCCCCTTTAAAAAAAAAAAAAAAAACCAACCCTAAAATCTGGGAAGTTTGCAACCCGCCCCCCCCTATCCCCAACACCCCAAAGCTTATGGCGGCCTTTCCATGGTACGTATGTTCAGGGCTGGGCGCGCCGGGCTGGGCTGGGCGCTGGGGATGATGCTCCGCTCACCCGCACGGGGTGAGGGCAGGCGGGGCTGATGCGCCGGGGACGAGGCTCGGGGGGGGGGGGGGAGGAGAAGCAGCTTTTCCTCTCGCAAGTCAGTGCTGGAGTGTTACCCCCATCTCGAGCTGCTGCCGAGTCGCCCAGGACGCAGCGATGCTCTTCCCCGCGGGCGGCAGCAGCAGTGAGGGGTGCTGGGCTGGTGGTGCCGGGGCTGGTTCTGGAGCACCGCGGGTCATGCGGGAAGGGGGTGCTGCGGTGCTCTGCTCCATCCCGAGCTCCCCCTGACCCCATGCACCTCACACACTAATTGCTGCTTTTCCTTTTTCTTTTCAAGGCAGTGGGTTTTGCTGTAGTGAGTGCTGTGATGGGGAGGCCGTGCTGGATGTGGTGGGAGTGAATGGGGTCAATGACAGGGAGAGAGCATAGGAATCCACCTCCTGGGATCGAGCACTGTCCCATTGCAGCTAGAGGAGCTCAGTGCGCTGCTGGCACTGGGATGGGGCTGCTGTGCCAGGCAGCTGCAGTGCTGGGCACTCCAGGACCACCTGCCAACATTGCCCAGGGCACCCCATGGGAAGCCCAGGATCTGTGGGAGTGGGCACTCACAGCACTGGGAGCTGGGGTGTTGCTCTAATGCCTAAATTGTGTTCCCCCTGCTCCCTAAGGGCTGCGGTAACGGCTTCGTTTTGGGACGTTTGTTCTTCAGAAAACCCCCAAGTTCCTCTTGGGTTTCTCAGCAAGTCACATGGACTGATGGCTTCGCTGCTACTTTCCATTTTCCTCTCCATTTTGGTTCTACCCCTTCCTCACCATGTGCTAGGGTCTTGCTCTTCCTCTTCCCACCACCTTTATCAAGGATCAGTTTGGATTTTCAATCCAGTTCATGGAGGAATGTGAGGATTGGACTGAGTGGGGCTGAAATATAGGTAAGAGGTCAAGTGAATGCTTAAAGGCTGCAACTCCTGTTTTGGTTACGTGTGTAAGTGCTTTGCAGCCTGTAGCTCAGTAGGTATTCGGGAGCCTGGGCCTGGAGCAGCTTGAGTGTGTCACCCCCTGGGAGGGATGCTGGGCTGGCACTGATGGTGCAGAGCACAGCCCCACTGCCATGGGACCTGCCATGGCTTCAGCAATCCCCTGGGCTAGAGACAAGCCAGGCAGGACTGGGAGCACACACGTGCATGCACAGGCACTTGTGTCTGAGCTGTCTCCCAGTCACCCTCGTGCAGCTCCAGAGCCCTGGTGCTCGCCACTGCTGGCAGGTGCTGCTCCTCCGGGGCTGAATGCTCCTTTTTGGATGTTTCATCCAGCTCTGAGCCTTCCTCACCTTCCCAGCATCAGCTTAGGGGGAAGGGCTGCTCCAGAGGGAAGTGTACGGGTGTCCCTGTGATGATGGGACTGTGTGTGCGTGCACCAGTCCCACCAGTGACACCGAGAGCTGACGGTGATGCCGGCACTCGATGGGATGCCCCTGCATGGTGCTGGGGCTGTCGCACAGCCTGGCCTGCCCTTAGCACCGCTGTCACCACCGCTGTCACCACGCCACCATCGTCATGCCACCGCAGCCCTTCGCTGAGCCCTGCCTGAGGTTTGCAGGGCCCTAATCCCTTTCCCTTGTGTCTCTTTCATCTCCAGTCGGACCAGGAGAGTGGTACTAGACCTTCTCACTAAGTTAAATGTGCAGGCTGCTCCTCAAGGCACAGTGCGGTTCAGCCGTAGTGTTTGATTTCCCAACCACAGCAGTATGGTGCCTCCAGGGAAAAAGCCGGCTGGGGAAACTTCCAATTCCAATAAAAAGTGCAAACGCTATTTCAATGAGCACTGGAAGGAAGAATTCACCTGGCTGGAGTTTGACTATGAGAGGAAACTCATGTTTTGCGTAGAGTGTCGGCAGGCGCTGGTGAAGAACAAGCACGGTAAGGCGGAGAACGCCTTTACCGTGGGCACGGACAACTTCCAGCGCCACGCGCTGCTGCGGCACGTCACCTCCGGCGCGCACCGCCAGGCGCTGGCCGTGAACCGCGAGCAGCTGGCCTTCGAGACCCGCGTGCACGGCCGCCCCGAACTGCGCTCGGTCATCAAGGTGGAGGTGAACCCGGCGAAGGTGGCCGTCCTCACCACCGTCTACTGGATGGCCAAGGAGGAGATCCCGGATGAGAAGTGCTCCTCCCTGCTCAGCTTCCAGAAGTTCAACCTGTGCCAGGCGCTGCTGGCCTCGGAGCACAGCGAGTACTACCACCCCGGCAGCGTCAGGGAGATGCAGGTGGGTGTGCGGGGCTTGGGGGGTCTGCGCCTGCCAGGGCTGGGCGGTGCTCAACCTTCAGCAGAGCCAACGGGGTGTTTGTGCCCAGGGGAGCTCCCTGAGCCTGCCGTGCTGCTTGCTGGATGGAAAGCTCAGGAGTTCAGTTAGCGCACTGGGGGGTTTTCCTCTTTTGCCCCAAACTGGGCGCTCAGAAAGATGAAGTAGCCAGAGAGTTCAGAAAGGATTTTTCTGAGTTTTACAAACGCTTCGTGCCTGCTAAAATCAAATTAAATTTTTTAGTGAGTCTTGGCCGTTTGCCAGGCTCTTTGGCTCTCTTGCAGAGCCTTATTTTGCTGCAGATAGACTAAACCCACTAATTAGGTTTCCCAGCCTGTGGTGATGCTTACAGCCCTCACACACACACACACACACACACACACACACACACAGGAAGTTTCCCCTCCAAACTGGGGCGTGTGCCTGAAATGGGGGAAAATGAGTAAAAGAAGGAAAAGACACTGCAGAGTTTTGCTGCTGCTCCTGCCTGTGCTGGGCCAGTGAAGCACTGATGGAACTGCTGGAGTAGAACTGAGCAGGCGAGTTCCCAGTGTCCTGCCTTGTGACCAGCACAGACAGCAGCTTGGGAATGGGATATTGGGGGCTGATGTCTTGATGCTTCTGGTGCTGTTGGGTCCTGCTGTAGTTGTGGGGCTCTGACCCCCAGCTCGGGGCAGGGACCTCCAAGCTCTCAGCCTTGTGCTCAGGCTGCTGGACGGGGGTGGGAGGAGGCAGTTTATTATAGGGAAAAGGAAAGTGATTTCCAGCCTGTGTGTGCAACTTGGGCCCTCGTGCTGCTGCAGGAGGTGGGGAGCCCTGCCGCTTGCTGTGTGCTGGGGGCTGCGCGTCTCCTGCTGCACCTGAACCTCACTTGTGTTTCTCTCTCCCTCCCCGTGCCCCTCCTTCAACTGGCTCAGGCAGCCATCGCCAAAGTCCTGCACAACGAGGACAGGCACAGGATCAAAGCCTCGCCGTTTGTGGGGCTGGTGGTGGACGAGACGGTGGATGTCCTGGAGCACCGCAGCCTCGCCGTGTTCACCACAACTGTCTCCCCCTGCAACGGGCAGACCTCCACCGCCTTCCTGGGCAGCTTCGAGCTGCCCGCCGGGGAGGCCTCCACCGTGGCGGGCAAGGTGGGCGAGGTGATGCGCTCCTTCGGCATCCCCACCATGAAGCTCACCTGGCTCAGCGCTGACAGCGCCTCGCTGGTGGCCGAGCGGCTGAGCGGGGTGGGGACCGCGCTAACCTCGCTCTGCCCGCTCCTCACCGAGATGCACTGCCTGTCCCACGGCAGCTCCCTGCTGCCGGCCGAGACCATCGGCACCACCGAGTACCTCCAGAAGTACGAGACCACTGTGGATGCTGTGTACAGGCTCTACTCCAGCTGCCGGGGGGAGAGCGATGGCCTGCAGGAGCTGCGGAGTGTCCTGGACCTTTGCGAGATAGACCTCGGGAGCCCCAAAGCCATCCACTGGACTTCTGTCTTCCCAGCCGTGGAAGCCATCGACTCGTCATGGCCCACGCTGGTGCTGCTGCTGGAGAGCGAGGCGGAGCACTCGCCTGTGGCCCGTGGCCTCTGCGAAGAGCTCAAGAAGTTCCAGTTCGTGGCCTTCACCAAGATCCTCCTGGACGTCCTCCCCATCTTTCAGAAGCTCAGTCGCTTCTTCCAGCTCGAGGACTTTGACCTTTCCATCCTGAAGCCCATCGTCTCGGCCACGGCCACCACGCTGCAGGCCCAGCAGAGCACCAGCGGCCAGAACCTCCAGGAGTTCCTCAGCGAGATGAACGAGCACCCGCGGGACGGCCGGGAGGGCGAGAGCCGCCTCTACTACAAGGGTATCGAGCTGGCCAACTGCTCCCAGGTGCACCTGAAGCACTTTGAGCACTTGAAGGAGACCTACCTGGAGAGCGTACGGGGCAACCTGCTGGACAGGTTCCCCACCAGCGTCCTGGAGGCCATCAGCTCCTTCTCAGCCATTTTCAACCCCAAGTGCTACCCGCAGTCTCTGGAGGACATTGGCAGCTACGGGGTCAGCGAGCTGAATTTCCTGCTGCAGGCGTACTCACGGGTGGTGGTGAGCGAGAGGGCCCTGAGCGACTTCCCCCTCTTCAAGCGCATCGTCTTCAGCCTCAGCCAGCTCTCCTTCAAGGACCTCTGTGTCAAGCTGGTCTACAGCAGCTCTGAGATGCACGAGCTCTTCCCAGACTTCGCTGTCCTGGCGGCCATCGCCCTGGCCTTGCCCTTGGGCTCAGTCCTTGCCGAGAAGATCAGCCGGGGCCGGGAGCTGCTGAAGCGCAGCCGGTCGCGCCGGATGAAGGGCGAGGGGCTCTCTGACCTCATGAAGATCGCCATCGACGGGCCGGCCATCAGCGAGTTTGACTTTGCGTTGGCCATCGAGTACTATGAGAGCATGAGGGAGTCTGGGTTCATCGTGACGCAGGTGAAGTGAGTGTGGCCAGCGAGGGCTGAGCCCTCGGGCGGGAGCCAGGGCCTGCAGGCAGTGCCCAGCGCCAGCTCAGTGCTGCCTTCCCACATCGCTGGTCCCTGCGGGGCCGGGTGGCCACGGTGGATGGTGACCTGCTCCATGCTGGGAAGAGGAAACAGAATCCTTCACAAAGCCACGCTGGTCCTGTGACCGCCCCTCCCTCATCTCCCAAGCGTCTGGCCGAATCGCCCACGGTCCAAAATCCCAGGGCCACCTGAGATCCCAAATTGCAGTGATTTTTTTTTCCCCCCAAGAGTTTGTCATTATTTTGTCTTAGGGATACGAAGGCAAATCTTCTCTTGAGCTCAAATGTCATGTTGCCTTTGCACAAAGATACCCAGCAGCTTCTGCTTAATACTCTGCAAAAATAATAATTTCTGTTGTTCTGGAGCCTCGAGAGCGAATGCAGAAAAGGCAGCGCATCCTCCCAGCCTTGAGTCGACCCCGACATGCCTGGCGGTGTCGTGTTGGTGTTCCTTGTGCACAGCACAGAGTATTTTTAGCAGTGGCATCAAGTCATGATCATTTCAAGAGCAAGAGATTTAGGGAATGATATTGTAATGACCAAGGAATACAAATGCGTCACTGTGTACATATGTGTATGTGTGTATATATATAAATATACATATATAAATATATATATTAAAAAGGTCTATCTTAATTTTTCTAGTGCTTAAAGTATAAAGATATATAAAGGGACTTTTTTTTTTTTTTTTGCAAGGACAGAATAAATTATGATCAGGGTCCAGAAATAATTAGTAGTGAATTTCTGATCTTTCCAAAATATCCACACATCCTGGCTTTCCCTTTGTACCCTGAGCTCTTGGCAACCTGCTGCCCAAGAGAAAGTCCTTCAACACCTGCTTTTGGGACCATCCAGAAGTGTTCAGCTTGTGTGTTCCTCCTCTGAAGTGTTACTCTCTTTATCCAGAGGTGAGCAGGGCTGTTATTGCCCATGGTGGGTGGGGGCTTGGACCCCTCCGCCCTTGGGTCTGGGGGTGCTGGCGCGGTGGCTGAGCGGGGTTGGGGTGCTGTGTGGTGTTTTCCAGCATGACAGGGCTCTGCTGGTGTTGACTTAGAGGGCTGTTTCCTTCAGATCTGACTGATTCTAATCAGGAATAAACCCAGTGCAGCAGCCCGAAGCATCACCTCAGTTGAATCCTGAGGGCTGGGTCCTTTGCTGCCCCTTGATCTGGTTGCTCTGGGAGTCCAGTGTGTTGCAGTCTATTACTGGTCTGAATCCCAGAGGTGCCTGGGCTGCGCTGGAGCTGCTGTCGTGGTCCAGTGTTGTGACTGTTTCTCCTCCAGCCCTCACCCTTTGGCACTGGGGAGCACACACGTGTCTCCCAGGGAGCCTCCTGGAAAAGAGCTGGAGTGAGTTCAGCCCACGCTTGGTCAAAGTTTGAAAAGCCCTGTGTAAGGATTTGGAGACGCCACCAAAATTTGCTGAGAACACCTCCCTAGCAGGGAGGGAGCCAGGCTGCCTCCGTGTGAATAAACAGCTCCGTCTCCATCTGGCCTGGGCAGACTCTGCGCCAGATGCTCTCTGAGGCAGCAGCGTCTGCGGAGATGGGTCCTTGGCAGACTCGTGTTGGTATGAGAACCTGCAGCGTTGGCCCTGCTGCCTTCAGAGGCGGCTCTGGGAGGTTCACACACATGGGGTGTCAGAGCACAACAGTTGCTCTGCTCTGCCTCGCAGGGACCAGGGGAAAACCTGCTGCAGGTGTGTGTTGAGTGGCTGTGTGGAGTGAAGGGTTGGGGAACAGGCTGGGGGCTGTGTCCATGCACGGTCCGGTGGGCTTGGTTAAATGTAAGGCTGAGACACACCTTTAAATTCCAAGGGGCCCCTCTGAGAGTCGCTTGTCTGCAGGACAGGAACTGGGCTGAGCTCCAGGTAGAGGATGTTGCAGGATCTGATGGCTCTGGCTGAGCCCCGGGCAGAGGACGTGCAGCACCATAGCGGTGACGTCGTGGTCTTTGGCACGTCTTTGGCACAGGTAGCATCCAGGCCTGCTACCTGTGGAACTGTGGGGGGCACAGAGACCCCCCCTCCACAGGCTGCAGCAAGTGTTTGTGCTGGCACCACGGGGTTCCTACACTCCCCTCCTTGTACCAGCCCCTTGAAATGCTCCACAGGGCCTGGAGCACATCCCATCCTGGCAGGACCGGTGGTGCTGGAGCAGCAGCGTTTGCTGCAGCCGTGGTGGCTCCTCTGCCAAAATGGGGGGAGACACAGAGCCGGTGCTGTGGCAGAGGACACCCCGCTCCAGAGCTGCAGGCTGAGCGTCTGGGGATGCCATTCACCGGCCCAGCCCAGCCCACCACTGGCCCTGCTCGTCACCTTGGGTAAGGTCGTGTCATTCTATACAGACCTGGGGCCCTGCCACTCTCCCCAAAGCAAATCCCTGTAATTGAGTGTCTAATTAATACCTAAAAATACCGCCCTCAGCTGCTGCCGGAATCTGCCCTGCAGCAAAGGTAAGGCAGGACCGGCAGTGCCACGGCCCTTTAACCTTGGGAAGGTGCCCCAGGAGCATCATGTGGGTGCCCCAGTGGAGTGCTGTGACATTCTGGGCAGCTTTACTGGTGCTGGGGTGGCTTCAGCTCCCAGGGGTCTTGTCTGCTTCAGGGGCAAAGCCAGGGAGGAAACGCCCTGGCCCTCCAGAGGGTCTCACTGGGATTTCTGGGCTCTCCCCAACCCCCTGGTTTATCCCAGCTCAGAAATACGTTTAATCCACAAATCTGAGCTCAAGGATGTGCCAAAGAGGTTGGCACATCTTGTCTGTACTGTTGTAGGCAGCAGCTGCCGCGGGTGGTGGCTGTCCCTGGCTGTGTCCCCTCAGCATCCTCCCTGTGCCTTGCCCAGCGCAGGAGCTGCTCCCCTGATGTTGGGGGAGGAGACAATCTCCTGCCCTCCTGTTCTTCCCAGATAGATATATTTATATGTACATATATTTGATGTTTTTAAGGCCAGTGCAGTCAGTGCAAACCGTGCTGGCAGTGGTGAGCAGCACCCCTCGTGATCCAGCCCCAAATGCCTTCACCGCTGCTCTCTCATGGGGGCTGTGCGTGTGCTGGGGGGTCCTGAGGCAGCTCCCACGGCGCCAGCCCGGCCGTCTCAGATGATTTGATGCAGAAACACTGTTTCACGCCTCAGAAGGTTAATTATGCACTGCTCACCCAGTCCTGCTCGCTGCTGCTCCCTCCTCAATGCTGCTGCTGCTGCTGCTGTAATGTTATTTATTTATTTTTAAACAGTTTCACAGATTTCCCTTCTGGGCGACTCTGGAATTAACTCGATCAGAGCACGCCTGATGAAGCAAACTGTAATTCCTCCCCGGAGTCAGGCCCTGCTCGGGGATGGCTCCGGCGCCGTGGCAGAGCCGCCGCGTGCGCTCGCCCAGAAAGAGGTCGTTGGTGCCCGTGGGGCCGGCGGCGAGCGCTCACTGCTCAGATCCAGGGGATCTCTCGAACTTTGAATTTCAGATTCGTGCCTCGGCTCCCGCAGCAGCTGCGATTGGCGCAGGGTGGGTGCAGAGCAGAGTAAGGAGCGGCATCAGCCTGAGGTCCTTGTCCTGCGCTACCAGTGTCAGGGTGCAGGGGGCTGGGGGAGGGCTCAGTCTTGGTGCTCTCACGAAGAGGGGCTTGTGGTGACGGCTCCCAGTCAGTGTTGCTGCTGTGGGAGCACCAGATCCCCTGGATACCCTCCCACAAGGGGTGTTCTCTGCGCTGCCGGGGCGGTGGGATGGGGTCACGCTGTGCTGTGGCAGGGGCTCCACGATGCCTTTGAGGTGAAGAAGAACCCAAAAATAAAAAAAAAAACCAAAGGGTCTTGGCCTTGTCCTTGCTGCAGGTGGAGGGATGGGGCTGTGAGTGGGCTGGAGGAGGCATGAAGCTGTGTGGGATTCGAATGGGCTCTTCTGGCTCAGCACTCTGAAACCCTTTCTGATTTATTGTGTTTAATGACTTCATTTTTTTTAAATTTTAGCTTTTACCGCTCCTCCCTCTCAGAGGTGGGCAGGGACCCCCCTCTGCCGCTCGGAGGATGCTTTCCTGTGCTCATCATCTGTGATGAGCCTCAGTGGAAACCTGGGATGGGGAGCAGGCTGGAGACACAGATCCCTCTGCATGTCCTTCCCTCCCTCCCTCCTTCCCTCCTTCCCACGGGTGTTTTCTTTTTTGACAGAACATTATTAATAACCCCAGGCTATTTTTAAGTCGCACGCTGGAGCGCGTGGTTGCAGCTCAGGAGAGGGGGCAGCTCAGCCTCTGCCCCTGGTCCTTCATCTGCAACCAAAACCTCACCAGCCTCCCTGAGGAATCCCCATGGTGCTGGCATGGGGGAGCCCAGGGAAGGGGCTGCTTCCCCTGGGGGAGGTTTTGACACCTTTTGGAGGGATCAGAGCGAACTCCTGCGCGTGTCCACGCTCTGATGTGGAGGCAGCTTCGTTCAGCTTCAAACTGGGCTGCTGGTTTTGAGCTTGATAGGCAAAGGGGTGCCCAGGGCCACCCTGGGCTGTGACCATTCAGTGAGGAGGGTCCATAGCACACAGGTCCGTGCATGCCATATCTCACGTGCCCTGTGCCTCCCCTACGAACAGGGACCACCAGTGCTAATGCTGCTCTTTCCCTTTGCCTGCCCAGGTCCCTCCGGACACAGCAGCCCCCTCTTAGCATCGTTGCCCATCCCTGGACGGCCCCTTCACCCCCCCTTGGACATCAAGCACTTTCTGACCTTCAGGCTCAACGGGACATCACCGCTCAACCTCTTCCCCAACTTCAACACGGTGAGTCCCTGGAGGTGGGTGGGCATTGGCTGTTGGGCCCCTCTTCCCCTCTAGCAGTCCCTCCTTTATGTGGCACTGCTCCTTGAACCCCACCAGGTAGTTTCTGGTTTAATTCCCGGGGTCTTTGGCTGCTGGACACCAGTTCAACACGCCTGCCCTGCCCTTAGCTCAGAGCGATTCCTGCCCAGCCAGCGCCTGTCAGTACCAGAATTAAAAACGTGGTTCATTTTGACCGAGATCAATTGGATTTTGCCCCTGGAATCAATAGTAATAAAGTAGCTCTGGAGAGCAGTTCATTAGTTGAAAAATAAATAAGGAAGAGGAAAGAAAGAGCGAGAAGGTGTTACAGATATGAGGAGCGTGGCTGATGCTGTGGGTATGGGGGAGTCAGGGTGACAGGGGGACTGCTCCCTCCTGAAATGTTCTATTAGACAGCTAAGCCAACAGTGTGTGGGGTGTGAGATGGTGTTTTCCCCATGCCATGCTGCTTCCCCAGGCTGGTACCAGCCCCCATGGGGGTCTGCATCCCCCTGAGCACTGCCCAGCATTGCTGTGCAGCAGATTCTGCTCCAGGAAGCACAGTGGGCCCCTGCGCTGCTCCCCCTCTGCCCTGCTGAGGCAGAGCTGGCGATTCAGGGTTCAGAAAATGCCCATGGTCTTCCCTGATGGTGATCCTGGAAACGGGACTTTCCAGAGCCCCCTCCCTGCTCGCCGGCCTTTTGTGAGTGGCACTGAGCTTAAACCTGCTCGGAAGGTGCAAATTATCACCGAGATCTTCAAAGAGGGGCACAGGAATTAAGCACAGGATTCCTGTTGCTGTTGAATGGGATTCAGGCGTCTGAGTCCCTTAAGCTCTTTTGAAGCCCCAGCCCAGCCTCTCCCTGGCTAATGAGCAGGAACACAAACACAGGACAGGAGGGGTTTTGATGCCATTACGGTTCCTGCTCTTTGTCTGGGCTCTTTTTTTAGTCACTGGAGTCAGGTGTGAACTTGACCCAGCGCCTGTTGTTCACTCCCCTCGCCTCCAGCCTGCCGCTGCCTCGGCGCGTGCTCGCCCTGGTTTGCTGCTTTTAAAAAATGAGTAATTTGGAATATGACTCTGGTTCTTGCTGGAGCCACACAGCTCCGTGGGGGCTCCTGCCGTGGAGGATGGGTTGGACATGGATGGAGATGCCTGGGGGAATGTCACGGCTGTTCAGGCACCTGGATTGAAGCGCTCTGAGCTCAGACCTGAGCCTGGCGTGTGCTGCTGGCTGAGCAGCGCCAGGGCTGACGGTCCAGAACGCTCTGCACTCGGAGCAGGTCACGGGGCTCCCATGAACCCAGCAGATGTTTTACTCTGAAGTGAGCAGAACCCTTCCAAGCTGCCTTCTGCCACTCGGAGCAACAGCCAGGAATAAAAACCCCTAACCCAGCTCGGGAGGCACGTTCCCCAGGACCCAGCAGCGCCTCGTAAAACTCCGTCAGCAGACACGATCTGAACGGATGCTGCATCCCTGTGAATTCCCGATCCTGACCTCAGCGGCCACAGGGAGCTCAACGCAGGGCTCGCTATTTATATCGGCAGGAACATCCAGGGATAAATAAAGTAATGTGAGTCAATACAAATCGACTATAAAGTCGGGATCTTTATTCCCCAAGAGCGTGGTGCCCAAAGCCAACCTCTGTCGCCGGCTCCGTTCTGCTGGGAACCACTGGGAAGATCCTCAGCCTCCGGCTGCGGGTGCCGGTAGGTACTGCAGTGGCACAGCCCCCCCCGGCCCTGTGGGAGCTGTGGGGGCTTTTCTGTGTCCCAGGTAGTCGTGAGGGTGTGTGGTGGGGAGGAGCTGCTGGGGTGTTTGTGTTCTCATTCAGGGGGAAGCGCAGGGACTCTCAGATGGCACCAGGCTTCAGATGGGCTCAGTGCAGGATGGAGCCAGGCTGGACTTCTGGCAAAACACCTGGGACCAGGTGTGCTCCCGTGGGGCCAGGCAGCTGAAGGCTTGACATGGTGCTTGCATTCACTCTGGGATAGCGGGAGCAGCAGTGGCCACCATTTACCTTGGCTGGAATGCCCAGGGATGGGACAAGGAGCCAGGATCCAGGTGTGCCATCCAGCACAGCCCCTGGGAGCTCGTGATTTCTGTGCCTGCCCAGAGTGGTTGCAGGCAGTGCAGGTGCTCCGGTGGACACAACTCCTCATCACGTCACCAGGCTGAGCAGTGGAGACTTGGCAAAAGGACAGGGGGCATGAAGATCCATGGTACCATCACCTTATGCCCCAAAAGGACAAAGGGACCCCGTGTTGGGGCTGTTCAGCATCACCACTGTGGGGCTGAAGCTCATACTCAGCCCTGGTGCTGGTGACTTTGCTGGCAGGGTCAGGTTGAGGCCAGGACAGTCCCCGGCCTCATTTGTGGTCTTGTGCCAGCATCTTTCCTCTGCATCCTCCTTTGGTCCCTGCCCCGCTCCTGCTGCAGTGCTTGGGGCGTGGATGAACCCACGGGAGCTGTTGGTGCCAGTGGTGATTGGTGGGAGCTGTTTGAGCTCGGTGGGAGCAACTGGCTGGAACCTGGTAGCTGACGTTGCTGGGAAGGTTGGAGGCATTTTTCTTTTCTGGAAGAAGAGGTGTGTGTTTCTCTGGAAAACAAGTGCCAGCCCCACAGCCCGTCAGCGCGGGGATGCTGCCAGCAGCACGTTGCAATGTTTGTCGTCAGGCATGGAGCAGCATCTTGGCCATCTGTGGCTTCCTCCGGGTCTCTGCCGAACCCCAAATGCCTCTTCATTTATATGCCAGATAAGTGAGTAAAATTTCATAGCAAACAGGCACTTCATTAATCACCTGCTTTTACCATTCTGCTCACTCCTGGAAAGGAATTCGGGGTCTTGATAATGGCACTGTTGTCCAGGCATGTGCCTCGAAGACTGATGCACCTGTCTCGGCAGCGAAATAGCTTTGCAGAGAAATACGATCGCTGAAAACCCCGGGCTCTCCTGACAGCAGGACTCAGATAAGATAATCTCCCTGTGCCACAGGGTAGGGAACAATAGTTGCATTATAGATTAGAGCCACGCTCAGACAAAGAGGTTATTCTTATGTTTTCTCCCTTAATAAATGCACTTTGTTTAAAACAATTATGGCTTTTGGAACCGCTTTGGTGCCTGGGCTGCGGAATGAGGCCGAGCCCTGGGGTGAGACAGAAGGGTCAGGGGCTGGCAGTGGCCACATGTTCAGCCCCACTGTGGCCCCGGGCAGGCTGGAGGATGGACAGTGCTGCTGAAGCAGGTCTGTGTGTACCCAGCCCAGTGAGTTAGTCATCATCATTGGGTTTGAGAAGGTCCAGTGCACACCTGGGCAGCAGTAGGGCAGGCCAGAGGGACTCTCACGGGCACTGTGCCTCGGGCAAGCTGTGTCCATGGCTGCAGCCACTGGAGTCAGACAGACTAGTAATTTGCCATCTGTGACACCAGTGTCTGGGGGAGGGGTGGGCCAGACATGGGGACGCACTGGGGACAGACAGGGTCTCATCACCCCTGCCAGACCACAGCTGACGTTCAGACCCTGCAGGTTTGGCGGATTTAAGGATGCTTTAAGCAGCACAGGAAGCTGGTGTCTGACACAGTGCCTCAGCAGCCACAGCCCCTCGCTCCCGGTGTGAGCTCCGTGGTGTTGGCAGCGGCTCCTCGGGAGCGTGGCAGGCGTGGGGGTCACCGGGTCATGGTGCCACACCGTGGTGGCCATTGGGTTGTGGCACTAAGCCACCCTCTGCCCTTCCTCCCCCTCCAGATGGACCCGGTGCAGAAGGCAGTGATCAGCCACACCTTCGGCGTGCCAGCCCCGCTCAAGAAGAAGCAGTTCATATCCTGCAACATCTGCCACCTACGCTTCAACTCGGCGGTAAGCAGGGCCAGGGGTGGTGCTGGGGGTGAGGGGGGCACATGGGGCCAGCACTGGAGCAGGGGCACCCCCCGATGATGGGTCATACTCATCCACCAAAGCTACCAGTGCTTGGTGTCAGGCAGCACGGGGGCTGTGGGGGCCGTGGGAGCTGCTCTTGCCTCCCCTGAGCCCTGCACCCCAGCCAGCCTCTGCCACCCATGGAGGAGCCATCCCAGCCCTACCATGCTGGATCTGCAGCACCTGGGGGCTGGTGCAGCTCTGCTACCAAAACTCAGCAGTTCTGGGCTTCGTGATTCCTCTCCACAGCCAAGCGTTCCCCCCGCCCAGGTTGCCCCGCGGGAGCGTGTGCTGGCACAGACCCCCACAGCCCGTGGGTGTTCCAGCACGGTGGCGGTGGTGACCTAATTCTGCTGCACCCAGCCCCATTCCAGCCCCCATGTCCAGGGGGGGAGTTTATTGTCTTTGCTAATGAGGCACCACGCTCTGATGGGCCCTTTGCTTTCCCACGTACTGGCCGTCGGCCCTGACCGCTGTTCCCAGCCCTTGGGAAGCCACTGGGGGAGGGAAGGGAAGGGATGGGATGGGATGGGATGTTTCCCCCTGCCGAGCCCGGGAAGCCTCAGCTGGCCCCCCGGATCATTGTGCAAATTAATCTGTGCTGCTCAGGGGTAGAGTGTCTAATTCATACTGGGGTTCCTTTCCATAAATTGCCGAACTGGAGTTGTTTTGGGGGACAATACGGCATTGTCCCCACTGGGAGGACACCAATGCTCGGGGGATTTTCTTTTGTGGCTGTTTTTATCAGTTTGGTGCAGACATGAACCCATCAGAGTAGCGCTTCATTATCCAGTGTTTTCTGTGCTGGGAGAGAGGAGCCAGGGGACATGAACCGTGTGTTGGACAACCCTTAGGATACAGTGGGAGACATATCGTCCCCACTGGTGAACCTCTTTATTTCATTTTTACAGCAACAATTCACTCTACATTTCTGGAGTCATAAATTTTGCCCGAAAGCTGCTTTTAGGAGTGACTTGATGCATTTAATCAGAGCAGGGTCCTTATCTCAGCTGTGCAACATGGTGATTTCTTACAGAGTGACACCTTGGCCCCAATATGTCGCTGTCAGAGCAGGCTGGGGGGAGGAGGGATGTGGCTCTGTGTTTCACCCCTCTACCAACACCCTCCCTGTGCTACACCCCCTACCAACATCCCTCCATGTTACACCCTGTTCCCAACAGCCCCTCTGCAGTAGTCATGGCCCTGGGGGTGGATGTCACCAGAGGAATTAGCCATACTGGAAATGTGCCTGAGCAGCCACATCCCAGGGCTGGCCTCATCACCCACCCTCTCTGTGCCCATCCTTCTGTCTGGTGGCTGCACCAACGTGGTCACCCCGGTCTTTTGCCCCTAGAACCAGGCAGAAGCCCACTACAAAGGGCACAAGCACGCACGGAGGCTGAAGGCCATCGAGGCCATGAAGAACAAGCAGAAGGTGGCGGGGGCTGCAGCGGGGACCCCCGGCCAGGACAGTGCAGCTGACCTGTCCCCCAGCCCCGAGGGCAGCGGGGAGCCCGGCAGCACAGGTACGGGGAGGGGGGGACGGGGCTGGGGGGGGGGGGATGGACAGTGTTTTCCCTGTGGTTTGGTGTCTCCAGGAGAGACACATGTTTTGTATGGATGTGGGAGAGGAAGCAATCCCTGCCTCGCACATCCCCATGGCTCTGCCACACGCAGGGACGGCCCTGGTGGCAGCATGGACACGTGCAGGCGGTGTCTGAGATGGTCTCGGGGAGGATGGTGGGTGCTCCCTGAAATCCAGAAAACCTGTTCAGGCACAGAGAACTTCCCCTTCCTGCCCATTTCTTTCTCTTTCCCCTTTCCTCCTTTCCTTCCCTACCCCCGCAGCCGACGCCAGCAGCCCGCAGGAGCCGGAGGGTGAGGGCAGCAGCCTGGGGCTGGCGCCCAGCGCCGAGGAATCACCCACGGATCTGCCGGGCAGCATCGCCCCGCTGGGCTCCCCACCGGCCTCTGAGCTCTCAGAGGGCACCTCTGACGCCACCAGCGTGGCCTCCTCGTCCGCCCAGGCAGCTGAGGCACAAGCAGCTGAGTCGGGCGGCAGCGTCGGCTCAGCCCCCGAGAGCGAGAAGGAGGGGAAGAAGAGCAAACAGCACCTGTACTGTCCCACCTGCAAAGTGACCGTCAACTCCCTGTCCCAGCTGGAGGCTCACAACACCGGTAAGGGCATCGCTGGGGGGACAGGGGGATGGTCCCCTGGCTGCTCCGTTGTTGGGGTTTCAAGCAAAATCACGACCTGTCACCAAATGGCCTTGTGGGGAAGCAGCGAGCGTTAATGAGTGTTGCTGTAATTAAAAAGGGTTCGTTAAGGTGGCCTTCACAGATAAGCTGTGGGGCTTTACCTGGGCTGCAGCTTCTGTGGTGAATTTTCTCAAGGTCAAATGCTCTTACTGTTCGTGTCTCAATTAAGGACATTTCCAGCCACATTTAATCGAGTGATTGAGGCTACTTTATATTCCATTTGGCTTGAAGCTGATAGCCAGGGCCTCTTCCAGACCCAGGATAATCCTTCCCAAAGCAGCTCCTTGGTGGTCTGGGCTCGTCATCCTGTAGAGAAGCACCTTGGGAATCCAACAAGCTTTGGACCCCCACAGCCAGTGAGGGCTCCTGGGCTGTACAGGGCAGCCTCTAGGGAAGGTCACAGGTTGGGGGTGCTGAGAGTCCCCCTGAAACCTGGGGGTGGCCAAACACCCACTCCTTTCTCTGGAGGATGCTAAAGTGGAATGGGTATCTCAGTTTTAAATGGAAGGTCCTTCTCTCCCCCAGTTCAGCAAGAACTGGGAACTGGTTCCCCCATCCCAACTGCCCACTGGGGTGGCAGCAGCCGCCGTGTGCAGGGTTGGCTCAGGACACCGCTGCAGCTTAGCTGCAGACATGTCCTTTTGCTTCTGTCAGCTCCAGTTACGAATTTAGGAGCTGATTTGGGGAAAAAGAACAAACAAACAAACGTTTGCAGGCTGGCGCTGCTCTGCAGCCGTCACAGGGCTCCTCACTTCTTCACGCCTTAAAAAATAGAATGAATTAGCAGGGGCTTAAATTACTTGCCCCCCACGCGCCCCTGCCGTCCCGGCGCTGGCAGGGGTAGGACAGAGCACCCTGTCCCCCCAGGTGTGTGGGGATTTCGGGTTCCTCCTTCCCCGCCTGCTGTGACCCAGCTGAGCTATTCCTGGCTCCGCAGCGGCTCCGCTCTGACCTTGGGCACGGCTCAGATGCTGCAGCCCGGCCCTGCAGACTGTGCTAACGCCCAGGGACAGGCGACGGGCTCCAGCACACGCTCAAAATAGCAGCTTCTGCGAAGGCCTGCCACATGTGAGGAGGGGGGTCTCTGGGAAGCTGAGCATCTCTGGTCTGCCTGTGACACGAGGCTTGGCGGGGTTTGGGAATGGGCTGCGCAGTGCCGGCAAGATCCGGGCTCCCAGGCAGCTCCCTGTCCCTCCCTGCCTGTAAGTGCTGCCGGGCACGGGCTGGTGGGGGTTCCCTGGCGCTGTGGGAGGGCACCGTCCCTGCTGCCGTGGCACGGGGCTGGGCTGGGTTTGCCGAGTGTCCCCTCTCGCCAGGCGCCAAGCACAAGTCGATGCTGGAAGGTCACGGCACCCAGCTGCGGCGAGGCCGGGGCAAGCTGCTCTCCCGGGCAGGGCACAAGTCCAAGCGGATCGGGAACAAGGGCAGCATCAACATCCAGAACAAGGCGTTCCACTGCCAAGTGTGCGAGATCTATGTGAACTCAGAGACCCAGCTCAAGCAGGTGACGATGACCGGGGAGTGCAGGGGGGTACAGGGCGTGGGTGGGCAGGGGTTTGGGGTAGGTACCTGATGGTCCCTGAAAGGTGAGGGGCATCCCCCGCAGACCCAAACTGCACAGTGGGTCTCCCCTCACTGTCCTGGCTCCCAGTGATCCAGTTGTTTCTCCTCCCCAGCACATGAGCAGCCGGCGACACAAAGACAGGCTGGCGGGGAAGCCGCCCAAGCCCAAGTACAGCCCCTACAACAAGCTGCAGAAGAATGCTGCCCTCGCAGTGAGTATTCTCAAGGTACCTGTCTCCCTGCACAGCACCCTCGCTCGCCATCAGCCATCCCTGCAGTGAGTCACAGGAGCTGCTCCTCTTAAATCTCAGTTCACATCACCACACCTCAGCTGCTCCCCTCATGGAAAATGGGCTGGGGTGGGTGGGTGGGTTCAAGTCTTTTTTCCTGGGAAGGCCAGAATGGGGATAACTTGGGAGTGCTTTGGCAGTGGCATTCGCAACGGCAGCACTTGTGATTCCTCCACCCGTTCCACGATCTCACGGAGTCTCCTCCTCCCTCCCCGCAGTCCAAGCTGGCTTTGCAGAAGCACCTCACCAAAACCCTGGCGACCCGCTTCCTGCCGAGCCCGCTCACCGCCGCCGCCGTCTGCGCCATGCCCGGCCCCCTCGCCCTGCGACCAGCCACTGCCACCACCCTCTTCCAAGCCCCGATCCTCGGACCAGCCCTTTTCCGAACGCCGCCTGCCCACGTCCGCACCACGCCGGGCCCCATCGTCTTCGCACCCTACTAGAGCCGCTGGCCCGCCGAGGGTCCGCGCCGTGGCCGGGCTGTGCTGCGGGGGGCTGTGCGGGGCAGGGGCAGCGCTCCTGCCTACCTGCTCTCCTGGCTGGTGGGAAACCGTAGTCATAGACATCGAATCCAGATTCTCCTTTGCTTGGAGAGGGCTCCTGCTGGAGCGAGGTGCCCCGGCAGAGCCCGACCAGCCCTGCCGCACATCCCCACCGCTCCCCCCGGCCCGTGCCGGCCCCGCGCTTGGCAGAGCAGCCCATCACGGCTGGGCAGTGCACGGGAGAAGGCGGTGCCTGAGTCAGCAGGACCCTCTCGTGGCCATGACCTGCCTGCCCTTGGCCTGCTGGCTGCTTCTTCGTCGCCCTCTCAGTTACCAGACTGGAAGGAGAGGAGCTAGCTGGTCCCTGGGAGAAGGAGCATCCTTCTGGTCCCTGCCAGCCCAATGGGAAGGGAACTGTGGGGGGAGTCTCAGCCCAGCTCTTACTGGGAGAGTAGGAGCACAAGTGGGAAGCCAGCAGTTCCCCTCTCAACCTGGGCTGGCTGTGCCCTCGCCAGCCTCACACTTGCCTGTGCTGGCTTGGGGGTTTCTGTGCCACCCACCAGCCCCTCAGTTCCCACATCTCCCTGCATCCCACCAGCCAAAGAGCCCCAGCGGCAGCAGGCACCAGCCACACTGACCGTATCCTCACTCCAAGAGCAATAGCTGACCCCAGGGCCAGTGCCTCCCCCCTCCAAAGCACATGGGCCCTGCCCTGGCCCCAGAAGCACACAACGGGCACATGGTTGAGCCAGGACCCCTCCTGCCCAGCGAGGCTGGGAGCACCAGGCTGCCCGGTGCTGGGTCCCCAGGGAGGTGGCCCTGTGCTTGGCACCTCTCCTTGCCTCTGTCCCACCGCGGGGACAGCCCTGCCCCTACCTCCCGGGAGATGCTGTGAGGCTGAGTGAATGTCCCTAAAGCACTTTCGGTTCTCCAGTGAAAGGCAACGCTGCTGCTCGCCCGCCGTGCCCGGCCCTCCAACCCCATCCCCGTTAGGAGCTTCCAGGGAGTTACTGATGATTCCCAAAATCAGAGGTGTCCCCAGCAGCCCGGACAATCAGGTACGAAGGAGCAGGTGGCACCTGCAACCTGCAGAATGCTGGGCTCCAGAGGGACCCCCGAGGCCGTAGCTCTGCGTTTCACTGTGCTCAGGCAGCCCAGCCGTGACGTGGTCTGGGACTGTGCCCGCGGCGCTCCGGGTGCCCAGCGCGCTGCTGCACGTGGAGACGCGCAGGGGAGCTGCATCCCGAACACACCTTTTGCTGGAGGAACACCCCACCCCGATCTATGCAATCCAGGGGGGCAGCTCGCCCGCCGTGTAAGCCACCTGCGTTTCCCTTTGGTGCTGATGTGTCCGTACAGTCGGGAGCAGTGGTGGGAGCAGAAGAACCAACGTGACACTGAGCTC